TGACCTAATATTCAAATATGGTTTAGCTTGATAAAAAGTATTGACCTAATATTCAAATATAGTTTAGCTTGATAAAAAGTTAAGATGTTGTAGGGTTAAGATATTTATAAAAAACTCAATACTCAATGTGTTATTTTTAAGTTCTGGTTTTACTAATAAAAAACAAATTTGAATCTATTTTACAGTAAAATATTGTTTGATATTCAATCTATATCTAGAATTTTAAAAGTCAAAATAATCAATTAAAAAATTTTAAATAATTACCTATAACTTTTATAAAGATTATTTATTTAAAATATAATATTATTAGTAATATTTTATTTAGTTATTAAAATAATAATTATCTATTAAATCTAATTAGTCACTGTATCAACAGTTGTAATAAACTCTATTCTCATTTAAAAAATATAACATAATTGAATAATATTTTAAATAATATTATAATTACTAATTTAAATAAAATTTTATTTTAAATTATAAAAAAAACTTTTTAAAAAACCAAACCAGCACATCTAACTTCTAAAAAGGAAAGCCCAACTCATGTATAGTGCAGGACCATTCTTGCATGGGTACCACTTTTTTAATATATTAATAGTGTGTTTAGTAGTGTCCTAATAATTATTTTTTAAATGATTTTTTATATTAAAATATATGTCAATAATATTTTTTTTAAAAAAATTATTTTTAACATCAACATATCAAAATGATCCAAAATGTGCAAACCATATTAAATTTTAATAAAAATAAAAAATAATTTTTTAAAAACTTTTTAGGAACGCAGGTTCAACTATGTTTCCAAACAGCCCCTAAATAAACGACATCATCCTGTTAATTGAAAAAATTACGACAAACTGTTGCAGTAAATTTTTATTCACCTCTAGTGGGAAGCAAACTTGGAAACAAGTATTTTGACTCTTAAAAATTTGATTTTCAACTTATTTTTTTTAAAAAATATTTTTAAAACATCCTAAAAATCTAAAATCACCTTATTTTCAACCATAAATATCTATGAAAAAAGAATCAAATTGAATAAAAAAAATTATTGTGAACCTCAATCTATTTTTTCTAACATAATCAATGTATAAAACCACCATCATTGAATTTTTATTTCCAAGATTAATAAAAAAAATTAACTAAAAAAACCTTAAGTTAACACGAGTTAACTCAATTAACTCATGACACAATATATAAGATTGAGATAATCCCATAGAAAAAAAAAAGATTACAAAGTTGAAGGTCTAACAAATTAATGTTGAAAGATAAAATTAAAAATAAAATTAATTATAAAAAAACCTAGAAAATATTAAAGTCAAATAAAGTTAAATTTAAAAATTTATAACTCAGGTCATAAGATAAGATTACTCTATAGAAGACAAGCTTAAAAAAATCACGAAGAAAAAATTATAATTATCTAATTTTTTCATAAAAACAAATAACAATAAAAAAAATCAAATCATGATCACATATGATATAAAAATTAAATGAAATAAAATAATGAATGATAAAATTAAAAATAAAATAAATCAAGAAAATAAAAAAATTAAAATTAAAATAATATTAAGTATAATAAATAAATAAAATAAAATAACAAGATATAGAATTAAAAATAAATAAAGAATTAAAAAAAAAAAAACTGCAATCAGCTTAACAAAAAAAAGTGCAACTGTCTCCCACTCAGCGTGCATCAACCGCTTTTCATTTGAATATAATATTGCATATTTATTTAAATACTAAAATTATCCCCTTTTTAACTTGACTGCAACCTAAAAAAATAACCGCAATAGATTATTAAATGAGTAGTGAGCCAGTGTAGAAAAGATGACGCTAACCCCAACGAGGCTATTAGTTTTTGTTGAGAAGGGAAAAAACATATAGAAAAAAATCTTTCAACCCACGTTGTTTTGCATGCAGATATACAATGGATTCTTCAGCTCTTTCAGTCATGCTTGTTGTTTTCCTTAAATTTTGTATTTGTTTTGATTATATTCATTCATTAAAAAGCAAATATTCTGTGTTTATGAAATGAGTGTTTGTGTTAGGTGATTAGACCCTATTTTCAAAATTTTAATTGTTTTTTATTTGAGAAATTATTAAATTAATATTTTTATATTTTTTAAATTGTTTTAATATATTAATTTTAAAAATAAAAAAATTAAATCCAATGTGAAACTTTATTTCTAAACTAAATTCACTTGTTTTTAATCAAGTATTTAGATATGTGGTTATAGTTATTTTTTAAAATGATTTTATTTTAAAAAATATTTTTATATTTTTAAAATGTTATTTTTAATATTAATGTAATAAAATAATTTAAAAACATAAAAAAATATTAATTTGAAGTAAAAAATAAATAAAAATTAAAATGTTTTGAAAAATATTTTGAAATATAAAAAAAACATAATATAAGATTAATGACTCACTAGTTAAAATGTAAATTAAACAAGAATTCTCTCAAATTGAAAAGTATATTAAAAATTATTTTCATGTAAATTGACACAGACACTTGAAAATCGCACTTTCCTTTTCAATATCAAACCACGCATGGCCTTTGAGGCTTTTTCAACAATTCACTAAATAACTTAAAGTCAACAGGTTCATTACATGACACCTTGGTTGAAAATTAGCAATTTTTGTAATAAATTAATTCTAAATGTAATAAATTAGTTCAACAAAATCCCAGTGATGACATAACCAGATGCATAAATAAAGATACTCGCTTCTAACAACACAATCCTACCACATCCATACCCCATGCTTTTTTCATGAAATTTTATTTTATATTGTCATAATAATTATTTTATAAAATACTTTTTTATTTATAAATATATTAAAATAATATATTTTTTTATTTTTTATATTAACATATTAACAATATTTAATATTAAAAAAATTAATCTAAAATATAAAAGAAATTAAAAAAATTTTAAACTTAAAAAAACAAACATAATATTTATAAAATAGAGGATAGCATGTAAACATGGTAAGATTGGTATAATTGTAGATAATCTTGCCATGCTATTTTTTTATAATTTAAAACTTAAATCTTAAAAAATATTTTTATTGATTAAAGAGATTGTAGAAAAAGATCACACACACTGGAGGAGGGTGTTTGTTTGGCGGAAAGTAGTTTTTAAGAAATTAGTTTTCAAATTTTTTTGTATTTGTTTGTCATTGAAAAAGTTGATCAATGAAAAATATTTTTTAGTTAAAGAAAAATTTAACCTAATTTTCAGGAAAGTGTTTTCCTGAAAAATTTGAACAGAAAACACTTTCTGAAAGTTATAAAAAATTTAAAAATTTCATATTACTTGTTAATTATATCAAATTTGGTTCTTAAAACTTTTGATTGTTATATATATTTTATTTTGTATATTTATCTTTCAATTTCATCATTTGAAATTTAATTTTTATATTAAATTTTGGTCCTTATTTTTATAATTTTTATTTTCTTTTTTCTTATTATTTTTAATTAAAATTTTTTATTTATCAAATTTGATCTTTATTTTTTTGATTGTTACTTATTTAATTTGAAATAATTTATGAAATGATTATTATTATTATTTTAATTTCTTTATTTTTCAAATTTTTTATTTATTAGATTTGATTTTTATTATTTTTATTTTTATTTATTTTATTTAAGATAAATTATTAAATTATATATTTTTTTAATTTTATTCTTATTTAACTTTTTAATTTACAGGATTTGTTTCTCATTATTTTAATATACTTGAAAAAAATAAAACATTAATAAGTTATTTTTTATAACGTAACCAAACACTAAAAAATATTTTCTAACTTATTTTTTATTACACTATTAAATATAAAAAAATAATTTAAAAAAAAATTTATTTTCCAGGTTCTAAAAATTTCCAATCATTGACCATGATATTGAACCCACTGTACAATATGGAAGAAGTCTTCCATCAACTAACGACGGTGCAATTCAATTTGGCGGCTCCGTTGAAATATTAGGGTATCTTGTCAGTGTGAGTGGAATTTGTTTATTATTTTTTAAATTTTATTTTTAATAAAAAAATATTAATTTAAAATAAAAAATAAATTTTTTTAAATTTTTTTAAAAGTATTTTTAAAACAAAAAAATAAATAAAATTGTTGGTGTAATGTCAATTATTTTTTAAAGTTTTTATTTTAAAATAATATATTTTTTAGTTTTTAAAATTTCTATTTAATATTAATATATTAAAATGATTTAAAAATATAAAAAATAAATTTAAAATAAAAAATATTTTTTTAAATGTTTTTGAAATAAAAAACAAAACGTGCACAATAGCATCATCCACCACGTCACTACCCACGGAGCACTGAAATGCATGGGTCCCAAATTTCACCTATACTCATTTTCGAGTAAACTATTATATAGTTCCTTGGTTTAGAACATTATTGTAATTTAGTCCTTTATTTCTTGAACACTTGTAACCCAGTTCCTTCACTCGTATTAAATGTTTTATCTAATTAAGTGCACGCTTAGGAATGTAGTCAAAATTATTTTTAAAAGTATTTTTCTAAAAATTTATTAATAAAATATTTTTTTTATTTTTTAAAATTTATTTTTGATATCAATACATTAAACTAATTAAACACGTAAAACACTTAATTTAAAATTAAAATAAATTCAATTTTTTTTAAAAATACAATTATATCTCAATGCTAAACACCACCTAAAACATTTTGGTTTTTTATTAAAATAAATTTTATACATAAACCATCACACAAAATCACTCACCCCTTTCCATGTTTATTATGCGAAATATTAATATTTATTATATACTTCTCTGGATTTATTATAGCTTAAAGTATTTTTTATTTTTGATATTAACATATTAAAATAATTTAAAATGTAATTTATTTTTAAATAAATAATTTTTTTAATTTTAATATTTTTAAAATATAAAAATAAATGGAAGCACACACCAATTCCGCTTTTTCTTTCTTTCCTCAAACTTTGGAAAAAAGAAGTAACAAATGCGACTCTACTAGAAAAAGAAAGAAGGAATTAAAAATAGCCTCGATGCTTCTTCGCTGTCTCTCTACTAACAGAAAGAATTCCTTTGTCTACCCTGTTCAGGCTGCTCGAAGCAGTAATAACAAAATAAAACACTCTCTCTCCCCAACAAACCTTTAAATCAAAACTCTACTCTTTTGCTTCTCTCTCTACAAAAAAAAGTAAGAAATGGCGTTTAATAACCCTGACATCAGCTCGCCGCCTCTGCTATGTGGAATGACACCAGCATAGTGCCATCACCATCACCATCACCATCACCATCGTCAATCAAGTACTCTCTCCCTTGCAATTTCTTGATTTTTACAGTTTCATGTGGATTTGTGTTGTTGCAGGTAGAACTTTTTATGGTTAAGGAAAAATTTTCAGGTTATGTTTGGTTCCTGAGAAACTTGAGGCAAAAAATGTGAAATTTGTATTGTTTTTATGTGTTGATTTGTAAGTGGTTAGTGAATTTAAGTTACTTGATTGAATTTTGAGTGATTTGTTTTAAAAATGGATGGAAAAATTGGATGTTTTAATTTGTTGTTATTGTTTGCTGCATTTTCTGTTGTATTCAATGGTTTGTGCATGTTGTTATTGAATTGGAAATTTTTTGGAGTTACAGGGATGGGAGATGGCTAGGATTTTGTTGTGAATGGATCAGTGTTACAAGAGGGGAAATGAAAGCCTGACTTTGGAGCGGTTATTTTGAATTTGAAAAGTGTTTAGTGGGTATTGCTATATCGCATCTTTTATTTTAATCACAAATGGAAGAAGAGGGAAAACGGGTTGGAGGGCTTTCTTCTGGCTTGGCTGTTTTATTGAATGGCGAAGATAGAAAGGAGGATTCGTCGAAAACCCGACTTGTTTCATCTTGTGATGATTTTGGTAATCAGCCTGTGGAGCGAGCTCTTGAATATATCTTTGGTCTCTCAAACAAATCACTTGGTCCATTGACTGGTCCGGTTGACACTAAATTAGTTCGCTCTATTTTAAAAAATGAGTTTTCTAAGTTTTGTACCAAATCTGGTCATTTGGTTGATAATAGAGACGGGATTCATATCAGTAAAGATGGTTGTGAATCTCAGGTGGTCGGGCTTGAAGAAGTGAGCATCTGTGGTGATATTAGAATCATTAAACACCCTTTGCATGTAGAAAGCTTAGCAATGTTCAGTAGTGTTAGGTCCAATTCTTGTGTTTGGAAAGGGAAATGGATGTATGAAGTTCTATTGGAAACTTGTGGTGTACAGCGGCTTGGATGGGCAACTCGTTCTTGTCCTTTTACTGATCACAAGGGTGTAGGCGATGCAGATGATTCATATGCATTTGATGGGATAAGGGTTAGCAAGTGGAACAAGGATGCTGAGCCATATGGTCAGCCATGGGTTGTTGGTGATGTCATTGGATGTTGCATTAATCTGGATCATGACGAGATATTGTTCTATAGAAATGGTGTATCCCTTGGAGTGGCCTTTCGTGGTATCCGCAAGATGAGACCTGGATCTGGGTATTACCCAGCAATCTCTCTCTCTCAAGGTGAACGCTGTGAATTAAATTTTGGGGCTCGTCCCTTCAAGTACCCCATTCAGGGGTTCCTTCCCCTTAAAGCGCCTCCTTCCGCAAATCTTTTGGCTTTGCAGTTGCTTCAATGCTTATCAAGGCTGTCAGATGTGCGAGGTGCGGAGCGGGCTGAAAGTTCTTTAGTCGGTAAAATGAGAAGATTGAAGAGGTTTGTGTCACTTGATGAAGTATTTTATCCTGTCTGTCATGGGATATGTGAGGAATTCTTCTCTGCACTTGAGGGAGATTCTGGAAGTACTGAGTTTGTGGCATGGGGTCCGCTTCTTTCATTCATGATGGACGTTTTCAGAGTGCAAGCACCACATGACTGTTCAGGTCTGGATAAGTTTATTGATGTATTTCTAGAGTTTCAAGAATCACGTCTGATGTTTGAGCATATCATCAATGCCCTTTCAAGTGGCTGCAAAACAGCATCTTTGGTTTTAACAGAATGCCCGTACTCAGGATCTTATTCTTATCTTGCAATGGCATGCCATATCTTACAACGGAAAGAATTGATGGTTCTCTGGTGGAAGTCAGCTGATTTTGAATTATTGTTTGAAGGTTTTCTATCGCAAAAGAGTCCAAACAAGCAGGACCTTCAATGCATGATGCCTTCTGTTTGGTGGCCTGGTTCAGGTGATGATATCTCCAATGATGAAAGAAGCATGATGCTGACAACTACAGCTTTATTGGAAGCTATCAATAAGGTATATACTATTGTGGATCCCTGATATCTCACATTAAATTTGTAGATTATGAATTCTCTACTGTTGTTCCATAGATATTAGCTTGATGAGGGGAAAAAAATGAAAAGCCTTCAAAATCTTTTTTCCATGTGAAATTAACTGTAATCAGAATGTGGTGTACCTACTGAAATACTGTCATATACAAGCGGCCAAGCAGACTTTCCACTGATGGAAATAACTTTTCTATGAGCCTTTTGACTACAGCTGCTGTTGTTACCTTTCTATTAGATAATATTCTCCCTGTATGCATATAATTTAACCTCATCAATTTCACAAATAAAAGCATTCTGTTAAGGTTTGATTGTTCATGGTTCATCAAGAAAAAAATTATTCAAATAAAAGCTCCAAAAAAAAAAAAAAAAGAGGAGAGAATTCTTTCAGTTGAATTGAATACCCTGAGTTTGATCTCACATTTTCTTTTTCTATTTAATTCATGCCCATTGAATAGAAGATGATTGCCTGAATCAATTGCTACTGTTTACTTGATTATTGACATATCTTATATTTATGGACCCTGCACTTGTACTTATATGATGAGGTCAAGGGTGAGTGTAGATTGGCTGTTCACGAGTGACAACCTGAAAATACACATTTTTTTTTTTGCTGTTGAAACCTTTAATTTGTGTCCCTGCTAAATTAGTTGATATCAATTTTCCAGTCATTCCATCCTTTGTGTTGAAAATCTTTTTCTGGACTTGAGCAATGAATTTCCTATTTCAGCTCCATGCCTAGGGACTTAGATGAGGAGCAAAGTGCTTAAAATGTGCTGCGACCCTTGATAAATACTAATCCCCAAACTAAACAATCACATATGGAATTTGTTGCTAAACTCGCATTACCTATTTTGATCTTTTTCCTTATTTTTGTTTTGCAGTAATTTATCTTGGCAAACAATTATTGACTGTATTCCCTCTCTGGTTTGCAACACAATGAGTTTGTTTAGCTAACTTCATGCAATTTAATATTAATTCACACCCGACAAATGCTGATGTCTTTGTAGATTGAGGAGAAGCAAAGGGACCTCTGTCTCTTGGTCATGCAATTTGTACCGCCTACGACAGCTGCCCAATTACCTGGCTCAGTGTTGAGGACATTTTTACAAAATATTCTATTGAAGAATAGAGGAGCAGATTGCAATGCACAACCTCTTGGAGTTTCAAGCAATTCCGTTCTTATTTCTTTGTACTCAGTTATACTTCATTTTTTATCTGAAGGATTTGCTATGAGGGACATTTGTGGCTGGTTAAAGAGGTGTGAACCCAATGGTCTTGATGTTGGATTTCTTCACAGAGGTGGTGAGCAAAGTTTCCCTGTAGATATATTTCTCAAAAATGATCCTCATCGAACTGACATTTCTAGACTTGGGGGATCATTTAGTCATATCTCAAAATCTCATCCTGTACATGATCAAGAAGCAGAAGTAATCCGGTGGGAGGAAGGTTGTATGGATGATGAAGAAACAAGAGTAACACATAAAACCACACAGAAACCATGTTGTTGTTCAAGTTATGAGATTGAATTGTCAAAAATCTCCAAGCATCAAATTAGATACAACACTAAAGATTCTCGTGTCCATTGTAGTGGTATTCCAGACAGGTCTGCTTATGTGGCTGCAGAATGCAGTGAAGGAAGTTTGAATGATGAGATAGCTGACAAACCTAGTACAAGTGATCAATCTGAATCTGATTTTGGTTATTGTCCTGTGCGAGATATTAGGATTGTGCACAGGGAGAGTGATATGTCTTCGGCAACACTGAGAGAAGAAGAACTTCTAGATACATTGCTATTGCTGTATCACATAGGTGTTGCACCAAAGTTTAAGCAGGTAAGAGAATTTTCATGATAAAATATGCTCGTATTATTATTTTCACCTTACTGCAAGTTTTTGCACTTAGTATCTGGTTGATCTTGTTGGTGAAGGGACTTTGTGCTGCCTGAAATGAATTTATTATTTTTTCCCATGGAAATTTAATAGGAAATGAGTTTTGTAGCAAATATGGACAGACATTAGGAAGAGTGAAGTGAACAAAATTTTAGCCCTATCCTGAATGAACATGACCATGGAGTTCAGGTATTCACTACTTTCAGCTAGATTAACTATAATAAATGAATGAATTTCCTGAAGCCTGAAAAATTGATAACATCTGAATGGAGTTGGAGAAACTGTTTTAAGTTTTATAAGGATCCATTATTGAATCTGAAAAATAAAACCAAAGTCAAACGATCATACCAAACCTCTGAATTCCAACAGTTCTTGGTTTATCTAAAAAGACAATATCTTGAGCTCAGGTATAGAAATGATGAAGTCAGGGTTAATCACCATGACATGCTTTAACATGCCTTGTCTGTTAAAATAAGAAATGGCCGGTGATAAAAAATTATGTAATAGGGAATAATTTACGAGTTGTTTCATCAGTTGGAAACTGAATTTTCCTATGCCAAGTGCCTATTAATCTCAATGTGCTTGTGTATATTTTCTCTTAAGGTCCAAGGCAATAACCGTAACCAAAAGGTTTTATGCTTGAGTTACAGATTGTCAGTTTGATCATAAAATATGGTATCCTATCATTGTTTACACCAATGCAAGCTTAGATGCCTGTAGAAGATATATATGTTGTCATATAATATGAAACAGCTGTCCTCCCAATCATTTTTTTTGTGATACCCAAGGAGAATTTGATAAAAAGTGAGAAAGATATATGCTGTATTTAAAACAATTGCTGCATCACGTTATTTTATTCCAATCTTTTCACTTCAGCTCCAGTATTTAAAATATGCGTCTCATGTCTTTATGTTCTACAAATTGGGATTTGTAATTTCTGAAGCATCGTAGCAATGTCAATACAGTGCCCTACTCATTGACTGAACAGTTGAAGACTGTGTCGTGCTTGTTGACTGTTGTCTAGAGGGAACACCATTTCCTGGAAAACTTGTTCACGATTTATGTTTTTTCTGGGATTACAATCATATTGTTTTTCTGTGCTTTTGGGACGTTCTGTATAGCGGATGAACATCATTTTGTGCTTACTGATGACATGCTTTCTTGCTGCATTTTCTTTTTGCAATGGTCGTAATATGTCTATCTTGATTGTAGGCATCCTACTACATGTCTCATCAGGCACAGTCAATATCACTCCTGGAAGAAACTGACAAACAAATAAGAGAACGTGCTTGTTGTGAGAAATTAAGACGCCTAAAAGAAGCTCGTAATGGATACCGTGAAGAAGTAATTGATTGTGTAAGGCATTGTGCATGGTATGATGTCCCTGAACTGTATTTGTCTTGTTTTGTTTTGGAACCATATTTATCTTGATCTCAACCATATGAAACATTGAATGAATGTGTGAAGCCTGATGCACCCTTTTGCCTTCCTTTTCTATGGTTAGATTGAAAAATGGATATCCCAGATGGAGTGGTTGGATAGGCAGTCTTAACAAGCAAGATGCATAACTGTAACATTGGTTTATGAAATTAGGTTACTTGTTACTGGCAACTTATGCACTTTGCAACGATAAGAACTGTTTAAATTTGTTTTATGATATTTCTCTGTTTCTGCATTTCCTTAAATATGTTTATAGTTCTTCCTTGCTGTGTCCTTAATTGTCTAGTGGCCTCAACTTTAAGCACCTGCAATTATTGATTTTTGCCCAGTTGCCCAAGCTTGGCTTCCAAATTCAATGCCTATGGAAATATATCTGGCACAAAATGTCACAGAATGTCTTTTTCTTGCATGATAAGAATAAATTGCTGTGATTTTCTGGTAGAAACAGGGAGAGTGAGAAGCCTGTTTTCCCAAATCTTTAGAATAAATTATCTTGTTGTTCTAACTGCTGGATATGTTTCTTCTATCATTGTATATCTATTTATTGTAGTCAGATGCGACTTTCTATTTTGTCAGGTTCGTTATGGGTCAACATTCTAGCATTTTGATGTATCAAATTGTAGGCAAAAACTTCAATAGCTTTTAGGTTCTGTGTCTGCCCATTCCACTGGTCTTATTGGAAAGCATTGATATTGCTTTTGTGGGGATATGTTTTTTTTTTCCTTTTTTTTTTTTGTTGCCTTGCCTTTGTGTGTTCCTGCTGCCTTACTTCAGTGTGATGCTACTTAGCCTGCTCATTGCCGTCCATATAGCTCTACTGTTCCCACTGCTTGGGTTCTTTAATTCACTAATGTTGAAGACAAATAGCTGCTGCTTCCTCAGATCTCCAGACCACCGTTTGCTCTTTAACTGCTTACGACGTGTTTGTTATGAGGGCAAAGGGGGTGAAAATTTATGCTTGAAACTTTTCACCCCTTTTACCTTTGTTTGGTAGAACTTTTCGAAGAGGGGTCATTTTTAAGGTCTTAACTCTTAACCCCCTTAACTTCGTGAGTTGAGGGGTAAATAATTTTTCAAAGGAGACAGATTTTGGACTCAGCATTTTCCCTCATTTTTTTTAATTGAACATCCATTTCTCTTCATTCACTCCCACTTCTTATTATGGCCCCACAATTATAGATATTTAATATTGTTATATTTACATAATCAAATCAAATGTGGTTTGTTATGGGCCTACTAATAATGCTCATGATTTTTTTGGTACCCTTAAAACTTTACCCCTCGAGGGATGTTTTACACACTCAACACTTTACCCTTAAATCTTAGTAACATTTTACCTCCAAATTACTTCACACCAAGCACAACCTTAGTTTTATCACTATCTTTGTATGGTGCTGGTTGCTGGTACTTGATACTAAACAACACCAGCTACGTGTATTGCATACTTTATGCTAGCCCATTTCATCTTCTGATCTTTTGTTGGCCATTTTGTTGTGGACAGGTATCGCATCTCTCTTTTCTCGCGGTGGAAGCAACGAGGAATGTATGCAACATGCATGTGGATAGTCCAACTACTTCTTGTTCTTAGCAGAGTGGATTCCCTATTTATTTATATTCCTGAGTTTTATCTTGAAACCCTGGTAAATAAATTCTTCCCTTCAATCTGGCAAGATGATGTTGGGTGTATTTATACAAGCTTGTGAGCAGGTTTTTTAGCCTGTATACAGAGCATAAATAAATTTGACTTTCTTGTTTAGAGTTTTGTCTTGTGTCAAGACTGGTAGCTCTTCGGAACACTCTACATCTCTTTGAAACCCATCATTCTCTTGCAAATATTCTGACATCACTTCTTGAAGTTGAGCTACCACATGTAGGGTGTTAATATGCTTTTTAGGGTCATGTTTTGGAAGTTCACCAGGACTTTGTTTTTTGCTTGATAAAACTGCAAGTTTAGATTCAAATATATCATGAAAGCTCAATTTTTTTATCATCTTTAAAATATCAACGTTAGTAGTGGGCTGTTAACATCCAATTCTAGCAAAATCTTGTGTGAAGATTTTTGGTTGGTGAAGTGTTCACCCTGAGGTGCCAGTTTCTTTTTGTTTCAAATGTGATCTAAATATTTTCTATAGCTGTTAGAACACATGTAATTGGTGCATTTTTAATCTATCTGTTTTATCAGATTTCGCTGCATCATCTACCTGTAGTTTTAAATTAAGCGCTCTGCTTGTGGAGTGTGTCATTGATGTGGTTCCCAAAACTTGTATATCTAGCTGTTACATTATGCTGTTCTATTGCCGTTGCAGGTTGATTGCTTCCATGTGCTGCGCAAGAGTGACCCCCCATTTGTACCCCCTGCAATATTTATGAAGCAAGGACTTGCTTCATTTGTAAGTCTCACTTACTGTTCATTTAACTATTATCTCAGGCAGATTTTTATTGAGTTGATTTTTGTGTAATCTGCCGTTTGGTTTTTGGCTGTGTTTTAAATTTGTAATCAAATCTTGGCAATTTGTTCTCCATTTTGTCTCTAGATTTATAGATCAGGAAAGTATGCCATTATGATAATGTCAAGTTGTTATTATTGAAACTATCAATGTTCTCTTAAGATATATGAATTATTTTAGCATGTTATTGGTTAATTACAGCTCAAGCACAATTATATCCTTGATTGTGCTGTCAATGCTGAATCCATTACACACCAGAGGTGGGGCACTGAAGTGTGAGCCCACCTTTTGTAACAACGCAACAAAAAAGTTTCCTGCCATGTAGTGGATAAGTTTCTTTGTAGCCCTTGATTGAAGAGGTAAGGGACGGGAGGAGCTATAGCTGCCACCATTGGCGGCTTGCATTTTGCATCTTAGAAACAAATACTAACAGAAAGGGAATGATGGATTAAAACTCTTTTTTTGAAAATTTGGATGGTTAGTAAGATTTAGGTAGGATTGCTACCTCATTGAGCACTGATCTTGAAATAAGCAACTTTAGCTGATTCACAAAGAGTTAAATTCCATCAAATGTTTATCTCTCACAATGAAGCACAATGGAATGTCTCTACATTCCGGAATTCTCATGCCGTAAACCTACTTACAACAGTATGCTTAAACCACTATTCTTGGCATGACAACAATTATATTTCCTTCCCAATCCTTTGGTTATTATATTTTGCTGATTGCATATGTTCAACTAATATTATTTTATTTATGCTGAATTACCCATCTCTTAAACCTTCCTGCTGTAGTGGTCAACATATGTCTGTAATTGTTCTTGGTCTCATCAAGAGCCCCCATATAAAGGCTAGAGATCCTAATGCTCTAGGAAGTTTATTATATTACTATAAGCCTAGAAAACTTACCTCCTATCTGTTTTTTGCTGATCTTTCTTTTGCTGTATTACAAGCTACAAAAGTAAATAAGCTTCCTACATGGATAATTTTAATGCATCTTTTCTGATCTACTGTGGTTCTGTGTGCATCTTTCTGAAGTCTGATGGATTTATTGCTAGTTTGAAGTTTCAGTTGATAGTTGCAAGTGTACCCTTTTGATTATATTTCATGAGAGTTTAATGGTCACACTTGATTATTGTCGAGAAGTTAAGATCTTTTGCGTGTATATGTAAGGATGGTTTGATTGTTTTCAGTTATAAAATGTAGAACTATACTAGTACTTGACTCCATGGTGTTTGTGATGAATAGTTCAACTTTAAGGATGGAAGAATATTGAAGTGATTACACAATGTATTGTTCCAATCTGATTTAATTTGTGCCACATGATAGAGAGAAGCACAAGGAATTATTTATGCACATTTCTTTTACAAGTAACACAAAATCTTCCATCCAAAGTTCCAAACATCAGGCAGTTAATTGCTGACTGCTGGCTCATTTTCAGGGACCAGCGGGGTTTTTATATTTGACGTTGTGACTACTTTTGTACTGTTTTGTACTTTACCAACTGACACTTGTAGCTGCCAGAGAATAGACTTATTTTTCCTTGAAATTCTAGAGTCGTGACATGTATCACTGCATGCAATCTGGTGATTTCCTCAATTTAAAAAAGTTGAATATATTCAATGCTTGAAGTCAATGGATTTCAGAGGACTGATCGATTTCTCCTGTTCATCAGGTAACTTTTGTTGTTTCCCACTTCAATGATCCAAGGATATTGAGTGCTGATCTCAAGGATCTTCTCCTCCAATCTATTTCAGTCCTGGTACAGTATAAGGAGTATTTGACAGTGTTTGAGAGCAATGAAGCGGCCACACAAAGAATGCCAAAAGCACTATTGTCGGCATTTGACAACAGATCTTGGATCTCAGTGACTAACATTCTTTTGCGGTTGTGCAAGGGTTCTCGTTTCAGTTCTTCAAAGCATGGGGAGTCATCGTCATTTGTTTTCCAGGTAAAAAAATATCAATCTTTTCACATAATTTTTAAATCCCTTTTCTTTTCCATGGAACAATTTGTGGGCATGGATTTATCTTCTTTTTTGGCTTAATCTATGTAGAAATTGTTGCGGGAAGCTTGCATCAATGATGAAGAGTTGTTCTCAGCTTTTCTGAATCGGCTATTTAATACACTCAGCTGGACGATGACTGAATTCTCTGTATCCATTCGGGAAATGCAAGAAAAATACCAGGTATGATTTATTGATACCAAGTATTTGATGACTGCTGTTCTATGGCTTTCAAAAGGTCTGACCTAGAGTTTATGCCTTGCACTAGTGCAAATAGCCCCTCCTTGCCACGTGCACATGTGGTTGCGTGCTTATCTATCTATATCCTGGGGTTTCACTTTTCTTGGTTTGCATTTCTATAAATTTTGCTTTAACTTAAGTGGATCACTTGTCTGGGTCAGTCATATTACTGTTATGTGGGTAATACTAGTTATGTTGGTTTAAGTAGTTAGTAATAGGTTTTAACTGTATCGAATTTTCTGCCCTCATTTATTCCTAGTTTGCTTCAAATTATTTTCTTACTAGTATAAAACATCTTTTTATGTTTTGGAGTTTCAGCAAAGAAAATGTGGTGTCATATTTGATCTCTCATGCAACCTTGCAAAGGTTTTGGAGTTCTATACTCGTGAAATCCCTCAAGCGTTCCTATCTGGAACTGAGACGAACCTTCGGAGGCTAACTGAACTGATAGTCTTTATTCTCAACCACATTACCTCAACTGCGGATGCCGAGTTTTTTGATCTGTGAGTTTCCACGCTTTCCATGCTGGTGAATCAAAATCATGTTTCTCTACCTTCTCCCTCTTTTGTCATTTTTCCTTTTCTAACTTTAATAAGTAGTGTTTCAAAACATGGTATAAATGCGTTGTGCCATTTGAGATGCAATATGAGTATTGCTTTTCATTGAAGAAGCACGCAAGGGAATTGTTGATGATGACAAGTTAACATATAGGATTTCTTTGGCTGGTTTGCTTATGTTATGACAACCACACCCAGATATAGGGTTCAGTTTTCACAGATTTTTGTAACTATTCAAGTTTACTGGAGACTTGTAGATAGTGTCTCTGGACATTTTTAAGGTGCTTTCTTTTTGGTGATAGATTTGGCATTTCTAATACCAATGATAAAGGCTTTACCAGTACATAAATTACATATTTAATTAAAGAAAGAACTGTGAATTGTTACAAAGTCCATATTGCAACTTCTATGCTTCCTCAATGGTTAAGAAGTTCATATATTTATGCCACTGTATTTGCAGGTCACTTAGACGACATGGTCATTCTCCAGAGAAAGTAAATCGAGGCATGATATTAGCACCTCTTGTAGGGATAATCTTGAATTTGTTGGATGCAAGGGTGGGGACGGAATGTGGACAGCAGAATGATGTTGTGGGTGTTTTTGCAAGTATGGACTGCCCTGATGCTGTGCACCGTGGATTCCAGTATCTCTTAGAGTACAACTGGGTTAGTTTTGTCTGCTTTAAGCCCTGTCTCTCTCTATATGCATGGATAAACTTCTCTATCTTGTGGATAGCAATGTTATTCATTATTCCACTCTGCATACGAACATCATAATCAGAAGAAGATTCATGTTCATGGTTGGCAAAAGGGTATTGTACTCATGACTAGAATTTTAATTTGCATCTTTTTGTATGTACTTCCATGGAGAAACAAAAGGGCTGCCAGCCATGTAATTTTAAAGGGGCTACAAGAGGAATAAATTAAATAGGCGTATGATGGTTGTCTAGAGATGACTGATGTAGAAAAGAAGAGTAAAAAAAAACCTAACAAAATAGAATACTCAACTAATAACAAAATGGGAAAAGAAGAAGAATCAATGTATGTACTGTTCATCATCTTTTCTTATCTTATCCTTTAAGCTTTGCAATTTACTCTGTTATTGCTGTGACAGACTAGGTCCGCAAGAGGGGATGCTTACAGTGGAAAACTTCAGCAGCTAGAGAGTTTCTTGAGCCTCCTTGTTAGCAGGATTGAGTTGCAACAAATTGAAAGAACGAAACATGAGGAAGAGACAGAAGCTGATGGTAATACTTGCTGCATTTGTTATTCTTGTAAAGCAGATGCAAGGTTTGCCCCTTGTTCGCATAGGTCCTGCCATGGCTGCATAACCAGGCATCTTTTAAATTGTCATAGATGTTTCTTTTGCAATGCAACAGTCTTGGAGGTTATCAAGATTGATGAAAGCAGAGCTTAAGTTTTACTAGTATGTTTTCGGTTGCCTACTCATGGAACCTGCGCTGGTCACGGACTGATTATCAGTTTCCGGATGGGCTTGGGATCCAAGATTTGTCGAAGAAAAGGCTCAAAGAAGTTTGAAAGAAAATAGGTGGTATATTTTCAAGGTTAGGTGGATGGGGTTTAGAAAGAAACAATTCTCGTGGAGTTGATGAAGAATTTTGTAGGGGAAATTTGAGGGCATTACTCTGTAAATATGAGATGTAAATGGCAATGGAAATGTTCTGCTCTCTGTTTCCTCTGCGTTTATGTGAGCTGAGCTGGGCGTAGCTGGAATGGACTTCAGTGCTAAAAACGCATTTAGTAAATCCGGTCCCGTGGGAAATGAAATGCTCAATAAACTAAAAACGTGGTATATTATTAAATTAAAAAAAAAAGGCACTAAAAGGGCAGAGGATTATATGGTAGCTTGTGAGGGAATTTGATGTGAATTTGCAGTGTTTTCTTTTTTTGTTGGTTTATGTTTTTCGGTTACTTATTTGATTTTAATTTAATGTGGATGGCCTAGGATTGCACGACAGCCTTTGAAGGATTCAAGGAATTCATTATGGTTTTGCACAGTTGGTTTTTTGTCCTTTTATTTTTGTTTCGGTTTTTTTTTTTTAAATATAATCTTTCTAAATTGAGTTTGATAATTTGTTGAATTGAATTTGATAATTTGTTTTGGTTAACTTGATAAAGTTTTGGTAATGTTAAAAAATATTAAATTGATATTTAATTTGACAAAATTAAATTTGATTTTCTTGATTAAACATATTTAAAACTTTGATGATCAAAATTGACATTGAAATAAATTTCTAGGTTTTTTTTTTGTCATTGAGGTACGTTTTAAACATCTTTTAGAAAATAAAGTTTTTATGTTTTGGTATAAAATTTATTTTTTTATATTTTAATTCCTGAATTAGAGAGAGAGGAGAATAACTCAATAAATAATTAATAAAGAACAGAGAAAAAAAATTATTGGTTGATTATTATTTAACAACCAAAAAATCACTTTAGGTGTTAAGAGGTTATATTTTATGATAAAAAAATTATTGATGTATTTTTTGCCCACTTGTTAGAAAAGGTTGAATTTTTTTTTTATATTAAAATAAATTAAAAAATAAATTTTTAAGTTGAAAAAACCATTACTTGATTTTTTTGATCCCCTTTCAAAAAATACAACAATATGTCGTCTGTATTAAAAACATGGCTTAATTGAAGAAAGAAAGAGGGAGGCCCCACTAGAGCACAAACCTTTCTTCCTTTGTTATTTAATTTTTTTTCTTGCAACTTTAATTTAAATCTAAATATATTAAAATAGATTGATTAAGGGTTTATTTAAATTTTATTTTATTGAATACATTCAAAATTTTTTTAACTAACATTATAGCTTTTTTATTATTATATTCACAAGCACTATTTTATGTTATCCTTCATAGTTTTTTTTTTAAATATTTATTTTATAGCTTTCTTTAAACATGTTTATTTTTATTATTGCATGATTAAATAAAAAATAATTTAAAAATATAAAATTATCAAACCGATTGAGTTATATATTTAATAGATTAATTCAAGATAATTTAAAATATTATCTTCTTAATGTTTAAAAAATAATATTCAAATATAATTGTCTTGAAGTATTTTAAATCAAATCAAGTTTTTATTACATAAATTAGATCAAGATATAATTTGTTTAATCAGCAGTTATATAACATCAACTTCAACTCAGTTTAGTTGAAAAACTAGGCTAGGAAAGCGCCCAATCTATCAAGTTTTTAATTTTAATTGAAATTCATATTAAAAGTTAATAATGCCTCCAAATATTTTTTTTTGCAATCAAAATTAAGTTTTGATCTTACCTGTGACGGAGAGTGGTAAGTTAATTGTGGATTGATAATAATTTTTTTATTAATTTTATCAATTTTTTTTATTAAAAATCATGTTAGCAATGAATATATAATTTTTTCTTTATGTTCAATTTTTTGACCCGTTCTGCAACTAAGTACGGGTAACTACTCACTAGGAGATAGTATTGGAAAAGCCTAAAAAAGGGAAAAAGAAAGAAAATTTTTTTTTCCAAACTTTTGTTTTTAATCATACCCTTCTACAGTCTAATTAGAAAAAAAATAAGTTTGGCATTATTATAGAATAGAATTTTAAAAATAAAGAACTAACATGTAAAACACACACCATATCATTTTTATCTTAGTACAAAAATTTTTAAATTTGGTTAAATACTAGATTGACCCTCAATTAAAAATACAAAAATATCATCAATTTTAAATTTTTTAATTTCTTTGATATTTTAATTATTTCAGTGTGATTTTTTAAAATAAAATAACTTATTTATTTGATAAATTTGATAATAACTAATCAATATTATAAAAAAATTTCAATATCCTCTTAAGAATGTTTTAACTCACATTATCTTTTCCCTTCTTGTTGTAGCTTTTGTTAATGTTTTTTGGTTTTTCATGATAATTTAAATAAAAATACATTAGTTGCTCTCATTTTTTTTTTTAATTTTTACTTATTAAAAAATTATTTCCTTAATAAACATTTTTAACTTCACCACTACCTAACACCTTTGAAAAGAGATTTAATCTCAGTTGTTATATAAATTGATTTAAAAACACTTTTAATCATAGAATATATTTATTTTTTTTTAAAAAGGAAAGCAAAGGGAGCCAATACGGTTTATGCACTGTAAATATCTAACGACCTCTCAATAAATAAATAAATAAAAATTAAAGTACCGAACCTCCTCTCTGCTTCCGTCCGGTCTGTCCGAAGCGTGCAGGCCAGGAAGGAAGGAAGGAAGGAAGGAAGGAAGGAAGGAAGGAAGTTGATATTATATTAACAACTTGTAGACTGTAACTACAGAGTAAAGTAAACCCAAAGTAATAAAGAAAATGCTGTTGCGGGCACCCTATTTCTCTAATCCCTCAATCAACCACCACCGATACACATCGTCCCCCGCCACCTCCACCGCTCACTCTCGTATCTTTCCGTACGATCTCCGCCTCCCAATCCAACGGTTCTCGTCGATTACCATACAATCACACTATAATTCAACAACAACAGCTGTTGCGGAATCAGAAGCGCCAGAGTCGTCGACTTCATCGGAGTACATCGAGACCGTCGGATTACCGTCTAGTTCAGTGCTTCAGCTCTCTCAGTGGAATCTCACGCATCGCCACGTTCTCGCCCTCAGTGTCATTGCTTGCGCTGTAATATACTCACTCCTTTACTTAATTTCTTTCCTTTACGGCTTAAAAACTTTGCTTCTGATTGTTAATAATATTTTTATTTTTATTATTTTTTATTTTGCAGGCAGCGGTTTCAGCAACCTGGCTATTTTTGTCTGCAATCCCAACTCTTCTTGTATGCCATATCCTTTCTTTTACATATTGGTTATTGTTTTTCTCTTTCGCATTAGGCATCATTTTTCAGTCATAATTAAAAATAATGCTGCAACTCAATATCATTAAAATTATTTACTTTGAATTGGATAATATGTTTAAGGATTTTTCTATTGTCACATTGAGATGTTATTATATTTTTTTATTTTAAAAAAATTCTCTTTCCTAGAGCGTAGCAATGATAGTAATTGAAATGATTTAAATCACTCAATCTTCAAGATTAAATGAATTCCCCGACATGCATATAATCAGATTATTATTATTATTATCACTTGTGGCTACAAGGTTAGCTCTGACCAAACAGCCTTTTAAGTACTTTTTATATGGTCAAAAGTTTGAAATATGATCAATGGTATCGTACTGCAAGAACTGAAAGCGATTCATTCTTTTCTAATCAGTGATTTTCTTTTTCTTTCTGTGGTTATTGAGGCTTTCAAGAGGGCAGCAGAATCACTTGAGAAGTTGATGGATGTGACGAGGGAAGAACTTCCAGATACAATGGCTGCTGTTCGGTTATCAGGCATAGAAATTAGTGATCTTACTATGGAGCTCAGTGACTTGGGGTTAGTATTAGTATTTAGTATATTGAATCTTGAAGCCTTGGACACTCTTAATTATGCTAGTCATTTCTTTTGGGATATTGTAAATTGGATTGAATTGTGATCACTTATCATCTGTTATTCTTATAGGCAGGAGATTACACAAGGTGTTAGAAGTTCCACCAGAGCTGTCCGTGTAGCTGAGGAGAGGCTGCGCCAATTGACAAACACAACTCCAACAGGTAGGCTACATTATTTTGCAGTGCTTTGATTTTTGGCTCTTGTTGTTGGATTTGGAGCAATGAGTTTTACTCCATCTTTACCTGTTTAGCTTCATTGCAGAGGGTCGCCAGTCTGAAAAATGAGACAGGAGGACCAGCATTGGCCAGGACTGCACGGGGAATGAGGGAGGGGATTGTCAAGGGTCGTTCAATCTTGCAAATATTCTTCACAATCATACAGTTTTCCAGGATGGCCTTTAACTATTTTGCTAAGCAAAATAAGAAATAGATCCAAAGATATGAGCTCTGTGGTGAGAAATATCAAAATTTCCTTGCGTACATATCCATTTCTTTTATAAATTTTGCAAAAAAGTTAGCGTGTTATGGAGTTTTAACATGTTAGGGTTTTATAACTGCCACTTGCAGTTGAGGTAGTATGCAAGGAGACAGAATGGACCTTTTGTTTTCCTTCCATAGTTTATATCTTCTGTGCCTGATGATTTGACCATTTTGACAATTTTACTTTATGTACGACTGGTATGTTCTTGTCTGTCAAGGATCTCTTAGACATGTTAGATGTTGAAAGTCTGTCTAAGTTTCTTGCTGGTTAGATTGATTAATCTGGCATCAAAAGGCTTGGCATTAGGTTTTCAGACCATATCTAATTACAGAATATTTCCGAAATCATTAGAGATTAAAAGTAATAAAGGAAATGTCCAAATGTTTCAATTGCACTTGGCCACTTGCATGGCTAAAACTTTCTTCCTTCACTGTAGGCGCGCAGGGCATTGAGAAACTTGGTGATGAAGGTTTTATGCCTAGGGCATTGAGAAACTTGGTGATGAAGGTTTTATGCCTTGAATTCAAGTGGAATCTATCTACAATGCCATTGGTTCATATGTGATGATAGTTGTGTTATAGCTTGTATATAGGTTAGCTGCGGGTTTAATGATGTTGCAGATGAAAAGAAAGATCATCAAAACGAATTAAACCCAATGGGTTATCCTGTGATGGTTCTTCTTGGTGAGATAATTAATAGGGCCTGTATGAGGCAGTACAGAAAGAAGATGGGTGGGGAAAGAATGGGGAAATAGTTGACAAGCAATGGAACACGAATTTTGAAGTCCAGGTTAGATGAAGAAGCTGGCTTGAGTTTTTCTTGCCTTCCCTGATTTGGAAGTGAAAGTCAGTCCTTTCTGCAGAAATCTAAAATAATAGCGATATTTGTGATCTCTTGACGTTGGTGTGGCAGGTCCAGTTCCTTCATAGCTTACATGAAGGTAACCAATGTGCTGATTTCTTAGTGCGTACTGGTTCTTCTCAGACCTCCACTTGCGAACTTTGGTTTCATCATCTTCCTGGCATGGATCAGCTTCTCCTAGCTGCTGATATAATGGGAATTGCCCTTCTCTCGCTGTTAGTTTTCGTTTATACCATCTTTTGCACACAAAAAGAAGGGGGTCCCTTCAGCAGAACTTTGGAGTTTGATTAATGGCATGGTCATGTAACTTGGTGTGGAGAGGCTGGGCTAAAAATCAGTCGAAGTCCCTTTCTATTTGAATTTGGTCAAATCAATCTCCATACAATAAATTCGACCTCACACTTTTGATTTTGGGTAATATATATCAACCCCTTTGTCCGTCTTTTCGTCAATTGACGAATCTGATGTGCTCTTTATCATTACATGTGTCATTAATTATACAATTTGATGACCTTGTACTTTGTATCAAGATTTGGTTTGTTTTTTCATTGCTAAAGTATTTTTTTTAAAATATTTTTTTTACTTTAAATTAATTTTTTAGGTATTTTCAAATAGTTTTAATGTGCTGATGTTAAAAATAATTTTTTTAAAATAATAAAAACTATTATTTTAATACATTTTCGAGCAAAAAACACTTTAAAAAACAACTATTACTACATTCTCAAAAACTTTAAAAAATATGCATTATGAATGCTAATGCTATTAAAAGTTAAGCCACTACGATTTAAGGTGCTATTTAATGTGCAGTGAGTTGGTTTGATTAATCATTTTATTTTAAAGGTTTTTCAGTGTTCAAATTCAATTCTTTAACAATTATAACAATATTAACATAACATTCATTATTAATAATCATACTACATATATTATTATTTACATGGGATGTAGTATGGAATATATTTTCTTTTGATACTCTACATCATCATTCTTAATATGAATATTAAGTGCTTTTCTAATCACAAAAGTCCTTTTATCAACTGGATACCCAACATCACTACAGTTTCTCAAATGGCAACATCCTATTCTTCTTAAATTTGTTATTTTTGGATTCAATCTCCTCGCTCTTTTATAATTATAATTCTTTTGTTTGGACATTGTGGAGTTATATATCCACTCGCCAAACTCCTAAGACTCTTAATATCATGGTTACAATTAGATGAGATCTTGGCTTTACCTTTTATATTAGTAAACAAATCTTTTTCTAAGACTTGGATGATTTAACTTTGTTGACCACAAAATTCAACTTTGATATGACAATCTTATCTTTTCTATAATTCAGTCCTAAGCTAAAAAAAAATCAAAATTACCTCTTTGATGTTTACTATCATTTATCTTTAACTGCCTCTATATTTTAGGAACCATATGAATCATATCTTCAAGCTTAACATAATACTGCAACTCAATCACATTGGTTATCTCATTATTTAATCCATTTAAGAACTTTGTCATTGTAGCTTCTATATCATACATAACATTAGCTTTAATTATGGCAATGCCTATTTTTTTATGGTAATTCTCCACACTTCTAGAAACCTAAAAAAAACTCTGTAATCTTTGATATAGTTTTCTATAATAACAATTATGAATAAATCTTTTTTTCATGACTGTTTTCATCTCATCTTAGGTCTTTATAAATCTCTCTTCATTCTTTTTTTTTTCTTTTTATTAAGACAAGTTAATCCTATCAAATAATAACAGTTACTAAACTCAATAACAACAAGTTTTACTTTCTTTACCTTAGACTATTGGTGATAGTAAAAAAATCAACTCCACTTTTTTTTTTTCTCTCCAAATAATCTTGCAGATCATTTTTTTCTTGAAAAACTAGAATCTTCATCTTAATACTTCTTAAATATCTATCCAAGCCATCCCGAAATCCATCCTCCCTATTAACCGTCATATGGTCAAATTTCTCAAGTGGCAAAACTCCCTCACACCTTTGGTTTCTATGTAACCATAACCGACTATCATGATTATCATCAAAATCTTTGGTTTTCTCATTTATATTTTCATCTTTCTTCCAAATATGAATTAACCTATCTTGCAAACCTTTTTCTTTCTAAAACTTTATGATCGGGCCCTTCTCAAATACTAGGCATTTCAGTTTTCAAACTAGTCGTCCCACTCATTACTTTAGCAAACCTTATATTCATCAAACTTAATTATTGTTGCATGACCAAATAACCCTATTTGACATTTTTCTCACACACTCGTGTTTTATATAATTTTTTTATTTTTGATTCTAATATGCTCACCTTTGTCTTTTATCACTCAATTTTCATGATTTTAGTTTTTGAAAGAACTAGTTCATAAAAAAACCAATATTAATATTTTTATGGCATAATTAAACAATGTAAAGACTCAAGAAGCAATAAAGACTAAAAATCATCAATACAAAAACTAAGAATTCAAAAACACGAGTATTAATATAAATTCATACGAAATATGAACTATACAAAGACATAAAATAAAAGACTATAAAGACTATGAAACTAATGAAATAAGATTTAAACAACTCAAAATAACAATATGTGTGTGTGCGGGGGAGGGGGGGTGTGGCGGCCAAAACTAAAAAAACAATACTGCAAAAGACTACTCATTATTTTATTTTATGATTTTCAAGAAACTCAACCAAGTAAATCTAAAATATCCTAAATCAAAATTTATTTTCAAAAAACCCCAAGAATCAATATTTTCTTTTCAAATTTAAAGCAAGTGGTTGAACTTTATGTTTGTTTGAATCAAGATTTACGACAAACCCTAACAATTTATTTTCTTGTGATTTTATTTGTTATTTTTTTTATATATATAGAACTTTATTTAATCAAGATTGCAAGTAATTTTCTTTTTTTAACTTATGTCGCAACTAGTTTTAGAGAAGATAAATAACTCAACAACAATAAAGTATGTGAAAACTTGAAGATAAAAAAGGTATAACATAATATACAATCTCAGTCTAATACCAACTAAAACGAGCCTTATGGATATAAAGATCATGAAACTCACAATCAAATCGACTCTTCTCAAGAAAGCTAAGATCATGTTCGAAATTAAGTTTGTACAATCATAACATGTGCTAAGGCATTAAGATTTCAAGTAACTGAATTCTCATACAATTCCTATAAAAAGATACAAATGAGAAGTATAAAAAATATCATAAAGCTTGGTAAATTCTTCAATAAGTCATACTAGTTCAATAAAGAACCAAAATGTATGAGTAAAACTTCACACATAATAATAATTGATGAAATAAAAAATACCCTAGAAAAAAACCTAAATACAAGCTAAATAACTCTATTTATATAGGTAAAGATATCCTAAACAATGCTGAAAAAATAAAAAAAAATTTATAAATAAAATAAAAAAGAATTCTAAATCAACTAGAAAACTAATATAGTTTGCTCACAATAACTTCTAAACCTTATTTTAAGTCTTTCTCGATGTTTGATTGCCCTACAATTTAACTCTACATAGAACAAGATCCTTAGAAAGTTCTAGTAAAATTTTAGCTCGATCTCATGGTTGGATAGAAAATTATGCTTGTTCGAGCAAAACTATGTACTAGGACAAATAAGCTTCTAACTACTGAAATTAATTAGCTTATGAAGTAGATGAATTAAATACCTCTTATAAATATATTAAATCTATTAAGATTTAATTATTACTTATTAAAAATATAGTTTTTTTGGGATCTATCTTGACCAATTATCATCCTAATCAACTTTGGAATAATGTCTTGTATGTATTATTATCCTCATCAACTTTTTTTTTTTTGGAACATAACAAATACTCTCATAAAAAATATATACCCGTGTGAAAAAGTCATATATTACTTAATATAAATAAAATATATTTTTTAGAATGTTTCAACATGTTACAGTACCTATTGATCATTTTATATCTCAAAATTTCAACCAATGAATTGAACCAAATACTATTTAGTTGCTTTTAAATATTTATAAGAACAATACAATACTGAATAACACAATACATCTTTTTAGGCTACAATTTAATCGCCATGCGGATTACCTTGCCATTAATGGAAACCAGGGAAGAAATCTTTCACTATCTCATGAATCAAGCGCTATCACAAGCTTATAATGGATAGAAACCTAACCTCAATGGGCTAAAACTACTTATAAACCACCTCTTGGTTGTATTGGGGACCAATGCTATGGCTTTTGAACAAAGTTTTGCGCCTAATAATCTTGGACTGGCCTATAGTTACACTGGACAATCTTATTTGCCTCCTAATCAAGTTTTTGCATGCACCTCTAATCCAATCTTACAACCCAAATAATTGTAGGCAAGCGTACGATGATTAGGGGGCAACGTTGCACTCATGGAAGAGATCTTGGATACCGTAAAATCAAGTTTTTTAATTTTTTATAAGGCCTTGGCCTTGAAAGTTGTTACAGGAGCTTCATCATTCTATTCTAAACTGTTCTAAAGGGAAATACGCTGCAGAGTTTATTGAACTGCTCACAGCCTAACAATGCAGTTCATTAGAGACAAAGAATGCAGTTTACCCTTCTAACACAATTGCAAGATCAGTGTCAAAACACATGTAAGTTACTGGGTAATCAGCTTTGCTCCAATCAACATTTTCACGGCCACATATTTCAGCCTCTAATCTGCTGATTGAAACAGCCTGAAAACACAGCGGTCTCACCTTCCATGATTTTACCAGCATACACCAGAAGAACAACCTGCAACCTGATCTCCATTCCCTGGGATCAATGGTTCTAAGTTCAACCTTTGCTTTAAAAACTGTAGTGGAGAATTTCCTGTACAACTTTCCCTCCGGGGAGGTTCGTCTCCTGCACAACAACTTCCGAAAAGCTGGATAGATGAACTCAAAGTGATAGGTTAAAGAGAAACACAATAACATACGTCATCTTTCTTTTTTCTGCTCTGAGTTTTAAGAATTATCCGACAAGAAGTCCAAGCCGAAACACTTGAGAAATGCAAGTTTCGCAAGCCTAAAATAGTTGCAGGGATGGAAACAGAAGAAGTCAGAAGAATTTCCGATGTTGTCTTCACTAACTATTCTTCTACCCGTGTTTGTTGTTATTTCCCCTTTTATGCTTTGGTTCTGCTGTGCCTGCAAGAATCTTGAACATTGTTAGATATCTCGAAGGCAAACTATATATCCCATACCTAAGCTATTTTCATGAAGCAACAAATAGCTTGGTAAGATGAATTCCTGTAGCCAAAAATCTTTTTAAAAATAAAAATAAAAATTAAGACTAAATATTTGATTCATTACTGCAATTTAAAAGAAGACAAGATTCTAATTTACAGGGGTTTGGTTAAAATGGTTTGGTCGTATCCACTGCCAACCCAAGCACGAGACCGTGAGAAAGAGTGATTGCAATGGTGGCAGGGGATTGGAGGATGAGGCCAGAAATGACAAGGATGATAGAGCATAATTATATTAAATTTAGGTGATTAAGTCACTGAACTGTTCTTAGCCACCAAGATCTATGTATTCCTTTTCTTTTTCTTTTTCCTTTTGGATTCATGTACCGACTATATGGGCGGTGCCCAAATAAAAAAAGAATTGGCCCATTATCAGCTCTTGCACGACGACAAAGAATACAGATATTGTCGGCATTTGATTGTTGTTATTATTGAAAATCATTGTGCAAATCAATAGAGATATCACACAACAAATTGACCCATCATAGTTTTTTTTAGCCTCATCAGCAGTTTTTGTTAGAATGCGCCTGTTTGCCCGCAAAACTGCTGGCATTTGGGATTGCCGTGGTGAGATTGGTTAAAAAAAATTTTAATGTATTATCAACAACTACTACCGTAATTCTACTACCGTAATTCTAAACATCCATACTACTTAGAACTGGAGTCAGGTCAAATTTAAATACAGTAGACGAGATAAAAGTGTGGTCAGTTCAAGTCACGGAGATTCACATTATATTTTCACCATTTAACTAGACTTATGCTATCATTAGAGGCATAAAGCATTATCAGCAGTTTCTTCTCTAACAAAACAACCGGAGTAAAGGAAAAGGAAAGAAAAGGGCAACACTTATTCGCGAAAAAGAGAGGGGAAAAGCATAACCAAGTACAATGCTTGCAAGTTTCCTAATTATTATCTTAAATAAAGTGTATCAAACAGTTGTACAACTTTACCAAGAGATTTTCTAATGTTAATGTAATTAAGCAGTTCTACTGGTAACATTTTTTTTAATGTGGCAATATCAACATTTAAGTCCTGAAGGCTTAATGGTCACAGCAAGAACCAATTTTAATCCTAAAGTAGTCAGGATCGGCTATACGGGTCCTTCTGCGTCCTATGCCAAATCCGCATTAAGGCTTGATGGCAAGCTGAAGGAGTAACTTCATGTGCGAAAGTGGTTCGAGAGGGTGACAGTGACGGCAATTGAAAATGGCTACGGTGGTTAGGGGATGGGGCCCTGATGATTTTTACAATATTCTGTCGGTCCTTCGGTGTGAATTTGTGAAAAGGGGAGGTCAAAAAACATGATAATAAGCTACAAGGAAAACCTTGAGAACAAGCAAAAAGAAGTCAAGAAATAGACAGACAAAAAGCAAGAATAATACCTTAATGTTTAAGTTGTTTCTAATCCAAGCCAAAGGAATTAGATTTTACCAGATGGGGTTTAAGAGTTCTTAGAAGCCAAAGCACAGAAAACTTAACAAGGACTGCGTATATACCTGGCTGTGTTGCAGGCGGTTTGAGACATGATCATTATGCCTGAGGATTTGGTTGTCCAAATGGCAATGAAGGGGCGTGAAAACACCAAGAGTGGATGGTGAGGCGGAGGAGGAAGTAGTGGTGGTGTCTGTGAGATCTGCAGTAAAGAAGCTGAAACAAAAAAGGAGCAAGACGAGGAGGAGCAAGACCAGTACTTGGATCCATATTAGCCATGAGACTCGATACCCTTCTATTGTAAGGTCGTCCCCAAACTCAAACATGGGTGAAAGAAGAGGAGGTAGGCGAGGAAGTGGTTCCTTGAGACAGAGAGAGAGAGAGAGAGAGAGGAGGGTAGGAAGAAGATAAATGGGGAGGTAGGAGGCAGGAGGTCAGGAGAGAGGTGAAAAACATAAGAGAAAAATGATTTTAATTTATTTATGGATTTGTCGGGCTGACTTTAACGTAAATCAAAAAAATGACATGTGATTGCCGTTCCCAACCCTACGCGTTTCGGTATTCGAGCGTGTCTACCGCGCGTGTCCTTTGTTCATAAAGAGAGTACCTCTACCACCACGCATTTAAAATTAAAGAATAAAAAAATAAAAATAAAAAAACACCCGAAGTTAATTTCTTCAGATTAGTTTCAGACCGTCTCATTCGTGGCTTCTAACAGACAAACTTGATTGTTGTAATATTTTTTATAAGAAAAAAAATATCACATTCATAAATTAGCTATTTTATGTGGCTTTTTATATTTTCTAAAAGCAAAAAAATTAAAACAAACAAGTTTTTTATTTGATTTAAAAAAAAATGGATTTGACAAACAATCTCTAGATCTATAAGCTTTTCAAATCTCCACTCTGATTTGGGAAAGACTAAAGAATAAACAGGTGGGAATGGAAGCTGCTACGTTCATTATTCTTGAGTTTTCAATTTACTTTTTATTATTATATTCATATTAAATTGTTGATTTTTATATTTTATATTGTGAACCACTATGAGTTAAAAATTAAAAATTATTTTTTAAATATTTTTAGATTATATTGATATATTTATATTGAAAATAAATTTTAAAAAATAAAAAATATTTATTTTGATATATTTTTAAACTAAAAATATTTTAAAAAACAACTACTACCATAATACCAAACATATTTATAATAAAATACATTAACTTTGTTTTGGTGAGATTCATAAAATATATTTTTATTAAATTAGGTGGTAATCACAATAAATATTTTTTAAAATTAAATTATAGAGAAAAAAATATATATTTTTAATATAAATTTTATTTTTTATAAATGTTATTTTCTTTTATGAAAACGCATATTTTTTACGGGTACCATGAATTAAAACTTGATATAATTAAACTAAATATTTGTAGTAATTCAAATGATTTAAATGGGAATTTGTTTTCTTTAGCCAAAAACCCTCCTTCCTTATTCATTTTTTTTTCTTTCTAACAAAAACATGTTTTTTTTTATTAAAAGATTAATTTACATCAATAATATTATTCAATTACAATTTTTTTAGTTTTTTTTTTTCATATAACTTTCCAATTATGTTTGGTTTTTCTATTTATATATTTTTATTCTTTGCACAATCTTATCATTATATTTTTTAGTCCCCTACTCATCTTAGTTCCTTTTTTCTTTCTTGTCTATAATTTCACTTTCTATTTTTTTTTATCTTTATCTTTATTTTTTTTTATCTATTTTATCAAACAAAACAAAACAAAATACATGAAAAATTGAAAAATAACAAAAACTCGTTCATACACTTTTAGAGAAATAAATTGAGTGTTAGATTCTATAAGATAAAACAAAAGTTATGGAGATGGTTCTCCGAATTCTACATTTTTTTTATAAGTTATCCGGAGGACATAATCTTTTGCATTCATTTTTACTTTTATTTTTTTATTTTTACCACTAGAATATGAAAGTTAATGTATTTGTACTCTAGCATAGTAAAAAAACCAAATTTAATAAAATAAAATAATTTAAAAAATAATATAGTTTAGATTGTAATTAATATATGATATTGGTGTATTTTCAACTTGTAATTAATGTTTTTATAAGTTAAAGGGAGTTAATTGACATCAATTTACGGTGACTGTGCGCCATGGCAGCTAGAATTGATATGTCAACTGAATTCTATTATTTGCCTTATTATTTGGTTGATTGGGACCCCCATCTATATATGCGTGTTTTTTAGTTTTTAATTCTTCTCCTTTTGTTTTTATTTCATTAATTTCGCTGCCGAAAATAAATTGTATCCTTTTACCGTATATTTATAATTGTTTTTATTTTGCTGTGTCAGCATTTCTTTTATTATTATTATTATTATTATTATTATTTATTTATTTACGTCAAATGTCACAGGAAAACAAGTGTACAAACTACCCTTTTGGGAACTCGTGGTCAGGGTACTTTTATAACGCTTAAGATTTTTAAAATGAGTTGAATGCAGAACTATTCATTTTTATAATATTTGATTAATTAAACGTTTCTATAGATGACATAAAACTTCTTGGTCACTTGCATTGTTAATAGAGAAAAGATTTTTTGTCATTGGAATTTAAAGGCGGAGCGTAATTCACATTGCTGTTGAAATTGTCTTATCGAAAAGTATTAGAATGGGTCTTGTTTATTTCTAAAAACTATTTTTCTTATTTTTTAATGTTTGCTTTGTTTTAAAAAAAAGATCAATTGAAAAGTGGTTTTTGACCTATGAAAATTAAGTTTTTACAAGACAAAAACACTTTTCTTTCTTTTAATTGAAAATTATATCTATAAGATTTTATAAGAGGAACTAATTTTCTTATTTTATATTTAGAAAAACATATTTATTTTTTTTAACTAAAAATTATATCTACTTAAAAATATATCTGAGTGTCTCAAATTTCTTTCTCCAACAATTTGTTTTTTACTCAAAACTAATCTATTTTCTAAAAAAATCTCTCTTTCATTGAAACTATTTTCTTTTTATTTGTTCTATGTTTAAAAGATTTGTATTTTTATTGTGGATCATCAATCTTTACAAAAACCAATAGAGATTAGGGGCATTACCTATTAAGCTTTTAGCTTTGAAGAAGTCTAGATTAGGAATGATTGATTTTTGAACTGAATTGCTATATATTCACATTTTCTATACACTTATTGGAAAGTTTCTATTTTGTTGAGATATTTTGCAAGGTTAAAAGAAACCCACTTTAGAAAATTTATTGATTTGTTAGTAAAATTTGTTTTTGGGAGGTTTTTAAGTTGAGCCCAAATTATATAATTTTAGTATATAGAAATTAATTGGGTTGACACTTTCAAACAAATAAATATGGAGCTACAGACCTTTAAATTGAGTAAAGTTGAATCCAAAGAAAATATATACATCTCATCTACCAAAATTAGGTGGTCTTCAACAACGATGATGTTAAAGTTATTTCAACAAAGCCTCTAAATTATTTAACCTAGTCATTGATGATTATGATACTCATTTCACAAAACCACTAATTTTTTTTGTATGTTCATACTTCAAGCCTTATCAATAGGTTCTTATAAAAAGTTGACAACATTTCTCTCAAGATCAAAAAACCAAAAATAAGCTTATTGGTCTCCAAGTTTGGAAAACCTCCAAAACCAAGTTTGTTGCAAAATCAGCATAAATACAGAACTCACAGCTATAAAACATACTCCAGAACCCTCTCATTTTAATGAAAGGGCTAAGCTTTGATCAATTCATGTTTGAATCCATTAAAAACCCTAACAAAACCCTAAAAATATCCCATTAGAAAATCAGAGCAGATAGGAGATAAAAAGAAAAAAAGGTTGATAAAGAAACTCTAAATGTGATGGTTTAAGAACCCACCATAAGGATTTCTTAAGTTTTGAAAGGACAATAAGCTTATGAAAGCAATTCTTTACAAAGAAAGCAAAGAGGATAATAGCTATTATAGGAGCTTGAAGGTATACTTTCTAACCTATAAGTGGAGTCCACGTGGCTTACTTGAGTTTTTTTATTGTCATTTGGTCTGCATTTATGCTTACATGCATGGAAATGAGATTTAAAATGCTTGGCAAGTAGTGTTGTGGTGACTCTTTTTGTTACAATGATAATTTGATTCTATTTTCTAAAAGTTTTTTTTTTAATGTTTTAGATGTAATAAAAGTTTTCTATTTAAGTTGTTTTAGTTTAACTTAAGTAATGCATGTTGAAGTAATGATGTTTATTCTTGATTTGCTAGTTCTATTCATGATCAAAATGAGCCTAAAAAAATCAATTTTGAATCCATATTGCATGAATATGTATGCTATTTTAAGTTTATAGTTTTTTGGATTTGAAACATCTTGCATAATCAGGATGATTTAAGGTTATTTCTTGGTTCTTTTGATTCAAATATGTTTGGTTATGGTAATGTGGTTTGTTGAGACTAAGAAAACATGTTTTAGGGATCGAAAATGCCAGTTCTAAGTTTGACAGTGGCTGGTTCTATATCTAGGTATTTTTTATGTTCTAAAGTAGTGTTTTATGTGTCCTAAGAACAATATTATCTTAGCCCCATGATTTAGACCAAATTTGGTCTAATTAATTACATAGAATCTTTTGGACGAATTTATTAGTCAATAAACTAGGATTTATTTGCATCAATAACATGTTTTGAGTAGGCTTTAATCTTAGAATTTTGGTTTTGATCCAAAATTTATTTTGATAAAATCATGATGTTAAGTAATAATCGAAGTGCATGAATGCTAAATTATTGATCCTTACTTGATTTCCAACATGTTCATGTCCTTGGTTTGTCCACATTTGCTGATTTGAAATCTATGTTGCTAGGTTCATGTTGAATGTTCTTCGGTGTTCTTCATGTTCTTCATTTTTATGGGGTTTGATATGTTTTGATAAAAACATTTAAGCTTTTATGTTTTTTAGGTTTGATTTTATTTTAGATTTTGATTTAGGTTTTGATTTATTTTTCAGGTCAAACTAGTGAACTTTGATTCAATTTATGGTCGAGCCTTAAGTTTTGAGTCAACCTGGTCAAGTTAAAATCAAGTCAAAGCTAAAGCCCTGTTTGGACAATAATGTTTTTGCTAAAAGTTTTCTTTGTCTTAAGTGTGTGTTTGGAAAACACCCCCTTGAGCCTATTTTAATATTTTTGACTTTAGAAGAAAATGACTTTTTGTCAAATATAGCTTTAAAATAAAGAATTTCTGGTTGTTACATACAACCCAATCTTTATAAAAAAAAATGCATTTTATACATTAAAAAAGGAGAATTTTTTTTTTAGCAGTGGTTTAGATTCTTTTTTTTTTTGGAATTTAAAATAAGTTTGTAAAATTCCATAAAGATTTGGTCAATCTTTCAATAATCCTAATTTTTTTCTCTAAAAATTAATGGCCA